TATATTAATGCCCCAACCTAAACGAAAATGGACGTCGGCCCCAATTGTGGGGATTTGATGCTCCTTCAAGCAGAACATGGACTCATCATAGGCCTAATGGAATTAAAAACCTCCTGAAAAAGATACTGGATACCCCCCCCCCCCCCGATTGAACGTTTGGGGTGTTGTCATTGGTTTCTTTACCTTCTTTTTTTAACAGGTCTTGATTTTATTATCGGTTGGTCTGTTGTGATGTTTGTTTGTCTGTCAGCTGTAGTTGCGCAACAAGGTTCCAATTCGCAAGGAAGGGCCGCACGTGGGAGGGGGTGTGGAGGGTTGGAGGGGGAATTCATTTTCCCAATGCCTGGTAACTCAACTGTTTTAGACAATCAAAGTTCATTTTTGTCCTTCCCCAAATTCTTGGCGCTTCCACATATGGGGAGGCCATAAGAAGGGCGTGGCCTAATTCCCTTCCCTTACTCCACTACAGAGCAAACGTTGCGTGAGGGTGTGGCACACTTTTCTGTTGAACCACTTCGAAATAGCAACCCAAAGGCAGATCGGGGGGGGGGGCGGTGGTGCAATACATCATAGAGCAAGTTGATTGAGCAATATTCACGGCAATATGGAAAGAATTTAGAACCCCATTTTTTCTTATTTTCCCCGACTAAGCGTCACCACTCAACATTGTAAAACTTGATTCATTGCTTCATTTTAGGCCTTTGACCTTTCTATGTGATAACTGTAACGGCTCTTCCACTGAGCCCCCCCTCCCCCCCCCCCCCCCCATGCAATCACTGCAACATCCCAGCCACTCCTTGAGCAAAATTCCGGACCCGAACTGTTATCTATTGAAATTATAATGTAATCACAAGTTCTTTATAATTTATTTGTAGTACTTGTGTAGCATAAATAAACAAGATGTGATAGCATCTTTAATAAGCCTTTCATCCCGATGGTCTAGTTTATTTGCCATATTTCGAGTCACCAGTGAACTGACAGTTATGTCAATAATCACCATGCTACTTTAAACTAGACTGTTTACATTTGTACAGGAAAAGGCTGTACCTTTCCGCCAAATACATATTATCACAATCTATGGGGATTCCCGATACGACTTGCAAACACCTCGTTCGGTTGTCGGTGAAAATGCGGCTCAACAACCAGGTTTCATGTAGTAAAGGAACACATGATAGATTACGTTATTAAGAGAAACGGGTTAGACAGAACGATAAAATAAATATTACAAACAATATTTAAAGCAATAAATCAAGTGTCAACCTTGAATTTAATCGTTAATTATTTAGAAAGAATACTTTTTTTACAATCTAGCTTATATGAAGTAACTAGGTATTTCATTGGGAAACCTAAATAACTTTCAGGACCAAAAAAAATGTAAGAAATATTTTACAAAATATGTGCAATATGTAAAAGCCCTATATAAAACTAAAAGGATAATACACTAATCCCAGCCGATTATAAGTGTAACAACGGATCGATCTGCATAACACACAACAAATCTTCTTAATACAAAAGTGAACAAAATAATCATACAAATTTTAATCTAAAAATATATCTGCAATAACTCACGGAGGTAGGATAATTGTATGCGAAAACATATGCGAACATTAGAAGTGAATACGATTCTTTTAAGAAAGCACTGCGCAATAATTACAATTTTACAAATATTACCGAGCCTTTTTTTATTCAGCCACTAAACGTTCACCAAAATGGAACGAATGAAACTATATATAATTCTACATTAAGAACACACGATAAGAGAGACTTGTATAGGTTTGCATGGTAGACATGAACAAAGTATTAGCACACTATAAGCTGCTTTGCATCTCATCACATAAATCCCTTAACTCTTGCAATGTAAAAAAGTTACACGTCGCTAATGACTCTTCGAGCAATGTACACATCCGGTGGTCCAGGCCATCCTAATTTAATCATCACGACATTATTTTTTGTCGTAGCCATTTTCGGACAAATTTTAATGTTTTGTTGAATTTCCAGGGTTAATTTACCTTCTATCACCCGCTGTATGTTTAAAGGGAAACCCTTATCACCCTTAAAAGTGTCTGTAGTCTCGTGCACCGTCCAACCGGAATATCTCACCCCGGTATTAATCAGTCACTAATGAATCCAGCAAATTTTAGAAATTGTTTGGAAGGGACAAACAATATCGCCCACTTCATTATAATAAGCCAAAATCCAGCTTCAATGCTACAAGGGCGGATCCAGAACACAATTTTGTGGGGGCCAAAAAAAATTTGGTACCCCAATTTTGGGGCTCACTTAAGGGCCCCGAATTTTGGGGGGATTCTAGATGCTCTGTGTTGCGATCTTAGGTAATTTCGGACCACTTTAACCAATGTGTTTTGAGAAAATGATGGGGGTGTACTCATTGCATGCCTTAATTGCGACGTCACTTAAAAAAAGGTCCTTTGGGGGGCATGGCCCTTTTTGGCCCCCCGGGTCCGCCCTTGTATTTCTATGAGTTATTAATATTATTATCAAGTGATAATATTCTTTAGTATAAAACACCATACAACACAGTTCTTGGTTTACAAATAAAGTAGGAAACGTTAACTTTTGCGGAATTATACGATGTCAAAGGCTCCCGTTTCGCAGATTTTGATAATGATCTGAATGATAATAATTTCCGCTCTTTTTCCCAGATTAACTATTTCAGTATTCGTAAGATCATACTTTAAATCCATTCTTGATGTCACAATTCTACTTCCTACACGTCATCACTTACATCACTGCCGCTGGTTCCAAAAGAGCACACGATCTGGTTCACCAGATGGCAATATTAGAAAACAGGGCGAGTAAAACAACAACGAACCGCAAATGTCGGGACCACTGTTTTAGTGAAGTTCTGCAATGTAGCACTTTCAACATCTAGGATAATAAGCTTTCTTTAAGTACAGCAATCATTCAAACCACTTATGCACTTTTTAAGTAAATTAAAGTTACAGACTGTCTAACACAACCACCGTTTTAAAGTTCTGTCCACGTATCTTACAGCAAAACAAAAACAAATCACTTAGGGATGTGTGTGAATTGTTTTCGTTTTGCTGAAAGAACGCACACCTTTTTGTCGATCCGTGGACAGAACTTTAAAACGGTGGTTGTGTTTAAAATTCCGTAACTTGAAAAGTACATGAGTGATTTGAACGATTCTTCTACTAAAAAAAAAACTTATGAATTTGGCTTTCATATCCTAAATTTAACAAATTTAACAATTTAGAAATTCACTAAAACAATAGGCCCGACATTTGGGTTTCGCTTTTTTTAACTCACCCTGTTCAATTGACACTCCAGATAATGAATTCATTATTAATGACTTCACATGATGTGAATCATTAGGTTCAGGTTTCAGGTTTCAGGTTTATTTCCATACTATAAGGTAATTAAGTTGAATAATATACATCAGGTAAACATTTTAACGAAACTTTGAAATAATAGTATGGGGAGGCCAGACAAGAAGCCGAAGCTTGTACTAGGTCTGCCCCCTTCACAAAGAATACATGTAGTTATACAATTCATGAATAATCATAGGATATATCAATAATATGTGATTTCATTAAATTCACGAGCTCATGCAAAACTTAAAAAAAGAATAAGTTACTTGAAGTAAATTTACCATCCTTGGCTTTACATGTGTTGTTAATAATTTAAATTGGCAATAAAGTAATAATTTTGCTCTTAATCACCATTGATATTAGCCGTAGTGAGAAGTAGTTTTTTTATAATACAATTTACATGCTCTAATTGAGGTCATTGGGCAGAGAGATCGAATTTTATTCCAAAGGAGGGGCCCATCGTATGTGTTTTCTTAAAATTCAAAGATAATGTATTACATACAAACCACTCAAATACATTAGTTAGCTCATTGTTCATTATGTCAACAGCATCATTCAAATGTTTACTACTGTAAAATATATTTGTATCATCTGCAAATAAGATGAACGTCAGAAGTCGAGTAGAATTACAAATATCATTAATATAAATAAGAAATAAGATAGGTCCTAGGATTGAGCCCTGAGGTACACCACATGAGATTGGTTTGTAATTGTACTTTTTATTTTGCCAGACAACAAATTGTTTCCTATTTCTCAAGTAATCTTTAAACCACTCGAGTGCAGTACCTCTGACACCATATGTTTGTAGTTTATTAATTAGAATATCATGATTTATGGTATCAAATGCCTTAGAAAGATCCAAAAAAATACCAATTGTATGTTCACGTTTGTCCAGACTAGATGTTATTTTATCAACTAAATCAATCAAGGCAAGTTCAGTTTAATATTTGGCCCTGAAGCCATACTGAGATTGTGACAGTATGTTAAATTTAGCAATAAATTTTTCAAGACGCTTTGCAACTAACCTTTCTAACAATTTTGAGAAGCATGGCAATCGCTGGAAGTAGTTTTCAATCACATGTTAGACTCCATCTTCGATGTACGAATGCGTCCATTGAGTTCCTTCTTTAGATGCACCTGCATTAATGACAAACATGATACACTGCAGCTAAAAAGCTCATTCACAGAATAGGATAAGCAGTGGATCGTCCAGAGGGGGTCTACCCAATGTTCCCCAATACCTATTTTTCCCGGATACCGATGTTCCCCGAAGTCCTTAGGATTATGGTTATGGTTAGGGATATGGTTAGGGCTAGGGTAAGGCTTAGATGGTAAGGATTTCGGGGAACATCGGTTTTGGGGAACATAGGTATGCACCCCGCCCAGAGACAAGAAAATGGTAAATGAATATCTCACATCAGAAAAAAAATCGCTTCCTTTAAAGCATAAAAAACATGCGCCCACCACAAACCCCGTCAGGTCATCGCCGGCAGTTTTAACGTCTTTCTCAATTAGAAAAATCTTCACTGACTCAAAATTTAGGGTAATAATAACAATACTGTACAATTTGATTAATCACCATTTATAGTACCCCTTCCGGCATGAAAGTCAAGCCCCTCCCTCGCTTCATAAATTTCACATGCTGCTGATGGTTTCTCCAACTGTTGGCAAAAAATCGCCTCTCCTGATCCCTTCCCCTAAAATGGTAAATCTTTCATGGGCAACAGTACTATTTATCATTTTATTTACCACCACCTGCACATGCATCTTTTAACGCACTGTCCACTGTGAGCTTTAACTTACCACTTATTCGGCAAACTCTGGAAACAGAGTTCAATTTGTCTTTGTTTTGAAATCAATGGTGCTCGTGTCATCCATGACTAAAGAGATGCAAATAAGACATCAATAAAAAGCTGATGAACTACCCAGATGGAGCCACTTTGACAGCGTTCAAGTTCATAACTTTTACACATTAGCAAGCCCGTTATTTTTGGATTACAATTTTTCTTTAAAATACAACCTGAATTATGTTCTTTTACCTGTAGTCTATTATTCTAATATCTGTTTTTGTTGTTAAGTTTTGGATGTTTCTGTCAAACTCACACAAATGAGCACGGAACAAATGAATATTTACCATGTATGGAATGATGACAAGACTACACATGAGCGAGACTGAAGACATCACCAATGACACATTCACGCCGACACTTGTCTGGATTGGATCGTGGTCATTCGTTAGTACTTTGTCAGCCTCCGTTGTGCCTTTGAAGTTAAATATAAGACACATGATTTAATTGTTGCACACATGTGTTTCAACCATTTCGCTTATTCCGCATCTCACTCGCGACCACCGTACGTATTTCACTACTTTCACCTTCCTTTTCCCTCTTTTCACTTGGACTGGATTCCAACGGCTTGAACTAGTAAAAATATAATTTCTAGTGACATTTACTCAATCGAGAAAGCATGTTCACTTTAGTTTCTACAGGATTTTCCCCCACGTTTTTTTTTTCAACCTGAAGTTAGAGCGATTTCCACACTAAATCGTCCGAGTCCCCAGAGAGGATGCAGAACCTACCAGTATTTTCATGAGTTGCCGTCATGTCACGAGTTGCTATTGTGACATAAATTGCCGGTGTGCCATCAGTTGCCGTTTTGGTAAGGCGTACCCTCGTGTGAGTTCTGTTTCCCACAGCAACACCCACTGCCTCGCACACGTATTCCGCATCATCGTCTCCTGAAGGAACTTGGATTGATGCTGAAGTTATATACGTCAAGCCTGATTGAGTAGGGAAAACAAGTACAGGCAGATTCGGTTAAAACGAGACGAGGCAAGTCTAGTAAAGTTGGTCCGAGAGCGCACAAAATTATATGTAATTGATTAAGAATTACTCATTCACTCTTATACTTACACGAAGTCTTTTCGTGTATCTAGGATTTAGCCTATTCCATGCCTTTGCGGGAATATCCTATACAATAGCACTGCCCCAAGTGAGTCAGCATGTCAGTCAGCCGGTGAGTCAGTCACTCAATTAAAGGCTGGTCTTCTTCTGGAACCAGCACAAATACTATGTTTCATCCGATAGTTTGACAACAATTAATAACTCTCGTTTTACAATAGGACAGAGTTAAGTTACGGTGAACTAATTTGGACACTAGCACTTAAAAAAAGTTAACCATATGTGTTTTCAAGGGGTCTGTTTGACCAGTAAAGGTAAGCTTTTTTCAAAGTTGTTCCCTACGAAAGCCCGTTAGTGCCAACATTTTTTTTTGGGGGGGGGGGGTTGGGGGAGGTTTTTTTTTTGGGGGGGGGGTTTGGGTTTTTTTGAAATTGTTTTCTTTTGGGGGGAATTGTTTTTTTTTTCTTTTGACACTTTACGAAACGAAGGTTTGGTACGCGAGCATTGCCGTACTTCATGTCCATAATGTACAAGAACGATTTCAGGCCATAGCGGAAGTGCCGTTTCTTGGTCCATGGTTTCATAAAGGCCGCGCAGTCTATTTTGAGTAACTTTTGAAAAAAATTGTGTTTGTATTTTTTCTTTTCTTTTTTGGAATTTTTTTTTCTTTTTACCTACCTGCCGTCAGCGGCGTCCTTCCCCTGAGTAGTCTGGTTCCAGATTCATCAGGAATAGTCAGAATCTTTCGGTCTGGGAACCAGACTACTCAGGGGAAAGGCGCCGCTGACGGCAGGTAGGTAAAAAAAATTCCAAAAAAAAAAACATTAAAAAAAAAAATTACAAAAAAAAAAAAAAATCAAAAATTTTTTTTTTAAAAATTCCCCCCCCCCCAAAAAAAGTCCCAAAAAAAAAATCCAAAAGTTACTCAAAATAGACTGCGCGGCCTTTATGAAACCATGGACCAAGAAACGGCACTTCCGCTATGGCCTGAAATCGTTCTTGTACCTTATGGACATGAAGTACGGCAATGCCCGCGTACCAAACCTTCGTTTCGTAAAGTGTCAAAAGAAAAATTCCCCCCAAAAAAGTTTTTAAAAAAATCCAAAACAAAATTCCAAAACAAAACAAAAAAATGCACACACACACACACACACACAAAATTCAAAAAAAAAAAAGTTGGCATTAACGGGCTTTCGTAGTTACCCGTGTGAGCCGGTACAATAACAGGCATGATTATTTTGAAAGCATCCAGCACTGTGTATCCATGTGGACTGGCACGGAGCCACCTCAACTCCACGGCAGGTTTGACCTGATCCATGACGCAGGTCAGGTTATGCACCACACTGTCGTGTCTTAATCTCACCTCGCACATGTCTGCATCGTGGTCTTGATTGCAGCCGATGACGGTAGGATATGGACGACTTGGGGAAACTGTTGGTGGAATGACGAGTTGCCAACAAAACATAAAGCTAGAGACTGGCATTAGTCGATAAGGGGAAATGTGTCCGAGACTCCGTAAGACAGAACAAAATTCGGGAACCGAATATCATTTATGTTATAGACCTGGGGTCAATGTCATATAGAGCTAGAGTTGCTAGGCGGAACGCAGGAAATATGTTCTTAGCAAAACAGGTTACCAGCCAATATTCCATGGGAGTGTATTGCTTGTGACTGGTTCTCCTTTTGATTTTTGCTTAACACCTCTTCTTACGTAAAATGTGCTGTTTAGAAGCTCCATGAAATTTCGTCATGAAAATCTACTAGATAATCAAAGCTTGAGTACAAAATGTCCCCAATTATAATTATACATTATTATGTTGTTTTGTTGTAGTTAATTTTAACTATAACGGGATTAAAATCACGAAATGGACTCACCTTTATCTCGAACTTCGACCTTTCCCTCTTCTATCATTTTCAAATGCGGTTTCAACTGAAAGTAGTAGGTTCCCTCATTGGAGGCGTTGACGTTCTCAATGATGAGATTGAACTCATTGTCGATATCATAGACGCCCTCTGGGATCCCGTTTTGGGGAGCCACTCTTCCCAAGAAGTACGAGATGAGCAGGGATGTCCCGCTGATGGTGTCATAGTGCCAGTACATCGCGTCGACGTCACGTGGCGGGATTTGGTGAGATTTGACGAGAGGACACGGTACAATCCCACGATGGCCTCGTTCCAAGAACACGGTTCCATCAGTGTGCGCGTGGACGAATCCGTCTGATACACAATATTGAACAAGACCTGGAACAAGAAATGATATCTAATTTTATTAATTATCATATTGCTCTCTTTTTTTTTGCTAAGCGTGTTTCAATGGACGATGTAGTTAGGAGTTCCCGAACGGTAGGCCCATCATTCACAACTGGTTTTATTTAATGGCCCCGTGAAGTGAATATTGCTTGGAAACATATTTTATGTTACTTTCTTATCCTCTTAATATGAAACCCATATAAAAACTAAAAATGGACATCCCTTTTTGGTTACCACATTGGAAAGTGCAATTCTTTCAACGAAAAAAAATTCCCATGCGTTTCCAGACAACTTGGGCGTGTTTTCTTTTGAAATTGTGAAAATCAAAATTAACTCATTGAAAACATTTGTGAGAAACAAATTGCTCATTCGCTTTCTACCATAACCCGGCACAACAACGAATCACTAAAGAAAAGAAAGTTTACGACAGCCAAATAGCCAAACTTCTTACAACTTTTTGTACATAAAGTAATTGCAATATTGAGGGTTCTGCCTGAAATGACATCACACTTTTGATCATAAAAATGGATATATTCATTAACACAAAAACCAAAAAGGCACCAAGATACTCTTGAAAACGGCAAAATAAAAAATAAAAAATGAGGTTAAATGGGACACAAAGGTGCCTTTTCAAGGATTGCATTAAAAAAAATACAGTTCATTTGCCCTTTAAAGATGCATTTCCCGTGCTATTTTCGAGTTTCTAGTTATCCACTTTTGAATCAGACATTGACCAAAAATCCATTAGCTATTAAATTATTTCTGCACAAAATTCGAATTACTGGCTTCTAGACGACAATTCGGCTCTCGTGGGGCGGGTTATTTGTGCACAAATTAAAATTTGTTTGGAGAAAAAAATGCACTTTTTGAAGAGCAAGGGGTCTATGCATCCTATCACTGTCGGAATTTCTCGTCCAACCCCCAAACCAGTTCAGGACCTTAACAATCAATTAACCTGCAATTTGGTAATAAGATTGAAATTAAAGAGTGTACATTTACAATGGATGCATCCCGATTACATTATAAGTCTGCAAAAGATATACACTTTTGACTGCTTACAACATAATGATAATGATAGCCACAGCATTCCGACTCGCCTCATCATTCTATAATGGAAGCAAAAATAACAAACATCAAATTAACTTCATTGAAGTCAATTTTTTGTAAAAATCTATATTGTTTATAATTGTTTTTCCCTCAGAACTTATTACAAATGTCAAATTTGCAGTAAAGCTATTAAGCTAAGCCATTGTGGAACATGAAGGGATTTTTTACTTTCAAATCTTTACTATGAACACGATTGTGTAAATAATATATTACTTTCGATGCTTTATTGAAATCCATTTAGATAATACTGCCAGGGATAACGTAGGGGTAAGGTTTTGTTCAATGCCTTTTGTTTTTTCTGTTTAAAGTTTATTTTATATTTTGTCCGTTTGAAAAGCCTTTCTTTAGCTTTGACTAATTTCCGACATTAGTATGGTTCCCAGACTTAAATATTCTGACTATTTCTGATGAATCTTAGGTCAGGTAGCCGCTAGTACCTATACAAAATATATATAGCGCACGTGAATAAAACGGGAAGAATGCCTTTTTTTTTTCAAAAATGACCGAAGTTTGCCGAATGTATTTCGTCGAAATCTTAGATTAGCGCCCGGGTATTTCTAGGTATAAAATAGGTTTTATTTAACTACCTTGCTTATTAAAAATTTTGAACCTAAGTTGATAATTATTATTTACTAATTGTACCAAGAAACCTAAAATTCAATGACCATTTTGTGCATCAATATTATGCACTACCATACGAGGGGCGAGCTTTGTTGTATAGGCCTATTTGAATCTGGCGACGGTAACCGGGATTTTCCAAATTTCAGCGTTGTCTCATTTTTGGTTTCGCCTGCTAAGATGATATTTGGGTCCCTTACTTCTACGATTACAGGTCAACCTTCGCCAATGTTTTCTTACAAAAATATCAAACTGTACGACATATTATGAAACAAGTAATGTTTTTGAAATATTTGATTGGAACATTAAAGCTAAAAATGAAAAAGCGAATTCGCAAACGAAGCCGTGCTTTGAAAAAGGGCCGTCAACTTGTCGTCATGTTTATTTTTAGCGGCGGAGGCTGCCTGACCGCGTCTTTTTTTTTCCTGCAGCATACATCGTATTTAACCAATCACATCACGCACCCTAACATGAGTATTTATCACGCTATCTGGATGGAAGACACTTAGGTTCTCGTAGTGTTTCCCTTCAATTAAACCTATCCCAACCAACAAGAAATATTTCATGAATATGAGCATGGGCTGGAACCACAGATCTTGCGATCCATAATTCACTCCACCATCCACTGTGGCAGCTCCACGAAAGCGGTTCCTTGAAATGCTTTAATGTACATGCATGACTGAGTGACAGTATTGGTGTGACGTCAGCATTATTGTCTTATGAATAAACATCGAACTAGCTGAATAATCATGATCTATTGACGATGTGTGCTGCAAATAAAAATACCGCCGACTGACCTACAATTTAGACCTTTGGGCGGCGGGGAAAATTGTCAGGTCAGGAAACCAGACTTTTCCGACATGAAATAACGCATCCACTAATTAGCATACTGTATTGAACATGAAAAGTATAATTAGAAAACGATTGTAGTCCTGCTTACCGATGTGAAGTAGAATAGTTGGCACAGCGTCGATCCCTTTTAAAACAGGTGTTCTAAAATTTGACAAGTTTGATGTTGGAGACTATAATCCAATGGGCGCTGGTAACCGCCTTTTATAGGTGAATGTAAATTGTGTGGTTTGCTCACTAGACCTATGTACGTCCACTATAGCTGTGATTACACTCATTCCGTGCGCAGTATAGTTGAGAGATCCAATAATAACGTACTCCGTTCCCATTGGCCGCCCAGGCCCCCTGGATGGCCTATGGGAACGATCCGAGAGAGGTTGTTGTTGGTTTAATGCCAAGCTCGATCAGTGGCGTAAATAGGGTTGAACTTCTGAGGGGGCACCTCGGGGTGCACACACTTTTTCGAGGGGGAACCTGAAGGCAAGTGCTATACTCAAGTGCTGTACTTGTGTTCAAGATTGTAAAAAGAATATACAACATTTGCTTTTGCTGTAATTTTCAGAAATGGAGGGATTTGGGTGGTAAGTATTTTACAACAAATATTGTTACACAGACTTGTTTGAAGTTTGTGTTTGTAGATGCTGGGAAAATCAAGAAAACAATCATGTTCCTGTAGTCTGGTTCCCTAACCCCACTTAAGATGAAAACGGAGCAATAATTGTTTTGTTACTAATCCACTGAGCGCCATCCTCAGCAATTTATACACCCCCCCCCCCCCATTCGTACACCCCAGCCACTGAACTGCGCTTTGGACCTGTTTATTCCTCTTCTTAGTATTGGAACTATTGTTTGATTGTTCCACTGGGGATAACCATTCTATGGATCGTAAACATCGATCGATTGTGAGGGCAGGGTCCACTCCATACAGCATTTGGAGAAAATTCCCGAATCCACACAGTCAATAACAAATCACATAGTTTTAAGTAAAACATATCTCAGTCTAGATCATTTGAAGTGCTCGAGACTGAGAGAAACGTGTCTATAAATAAACGTGACTGGTACAGGAAATCGGGTAATACTATAAAAAAAAAAAAAAACAAGAACTGATACACTTACTACTTTACTGTTATTGTTTGCAAATTACTTTGAATCGTACTGTTGCTGACTGGACAATTTAAATACATATGACACTAGTTTACATTAAATAATTTGTTAATTTCAGAAATGTCCATCAGCCCCTGATGCAATGAAACTAAAGTCTCTCCCACGTGATGAATTATCCATTCTGTAAAATATCCTCCTAGCAAGAATGGTCAGTCTCCTCAATTATTCCTTCTAAAAAAAACCTCTTAGCCACGATGGTTAGTCTCCTTAATTATTCCTCCTTAATTATTCCTCCTAGCCATGATTTTGAAAAATGGAAGTCTTCTTCTGTAGCGAGGGCTTCATATGTGTCGCCCATTTGCTAGCTTCGACAGAGTCAAGCGGTTGGTGCTGCTGCTGCTGCTGCTGCTGCTGCTGCTGCTGCTGCTGCTGCTGCTGCTGCTGCTGCTGCTGCTGCTGCTGCTGTTGCTGCTGTTGCTGCTGTTGCTGTTGTTGCTGTTTTGCTGTTGTTGCTGTTGTTGCTGTTGTTGCTGTTGTTGTACAATTTGCAAAAACATACATGCATGTAAAAATTGTATACAAACGTGGAGGTTATTTGAAAAAGGAATCTGTTCTCCTATGGTTACAAAATTCTGGACAGTGCTGGTATGGTCGAATTTTTGTATCTCTCGGTTCTACAACGAGGAATGATTAGAGTAGAGGAGGTACTGTCTCTAAGTTTTCTTCCCGTACAATTTGATTTCTGAGGAGGCAGCATACTCCTATACCTGTGAGAGTTCATGAGCTTGGAACCAAAACTTAAAAATATATGATCTCTTCTAGATTCTAATGAAGGCATACATTTAATAGTTATAGGGCCTTAGAGTAACAATCATAACGTTGATAACCAAGAATGATTCGGCAGGCACGTTTTTGAACACACTCTATTCTGTGAGATAAGTACTTGCTAATGGAGCTGTGCCAGACCTGACAAGCGTACTCTAGAACAGGTCTTATATATCATATGTACACAGAAACCAAGTCGGTCAAGGGAGCATCGTATTTTTTTTTTTAATAGACAATTAGGTATAAAGTCTACGTGAAGCCCTAGACACAATATCAGTTATATGACTTTCCCATTTGAGGTCATTTAGAATAATGATCCCCAAGAGTTTCATGTGAGTTGTTTGACTTAGAGCAACCGAGTTGAGAGTGAAGATGTGGTTTGGTATTTCACGCTTCAAAAAATTAATTTTCATTATGTTACATTTGGCAGGTTTGGGCAGAACATCATTTATTATGCACCACTGGGACAGATCATCAGGATGAGTTTGCAGTGATGGCTGCTCGCCACACTTTACGGTCTCCCCAAGAGTTAGATCATCCACATATTTCCATCGTCTGTGACTTCCTATCACAGCATCATAACAAGAATGAGAAAAAGGATAGGACCCAATTTAGTTCCCTGAGGAACGCCGCAAGAAATGAATTTCAAAGCAGAGATATGGTTGTTAAGTTTTGTATTTTGAGTACGACCGGTAAGGAAATCACAGATGATGGGGATAATGGATTTTCTAACTCCAAGGTCGATTAGTTTTTTAATAACCACATTATGATTCACAAGATCAAAGGCCTTAGTGAAATCAATAGTGGACAGGTATGCATATTGATTGGTCCAGCCATGTTGGCATGGTTGGCGAGTTGGCGTGGGTCTGAGTGAGTTGGCGTGGGTCCAAGTTAGTTTGGTTCCGAGTAAACCTGATACATGGCGGTTTTCCCCTTGATTTCACAGCATCGCTATAAAAAGTACTCCGACATGTAAATATTGACTCCGGAAGCACCAACATTTGTCAACATAAATTACGTCAACAAATCTCCACTGATTAAACAAAGTATATGTAGCGGTGAATCCACACACTCAAAGGGTCGCCTCGTCGGCAGGCCTCGCCGGTTAATCAAAACACGGATGACAAAGATTCTATCTCCAAAATTTCTTCGTTCTTTATTGTTTAGTGGCGATGCAGTAAAATTAAGAACCCCCAGTATCCGGGTTCAAAAAAGGATATTTCTTGATTGGATTACAGCACAGCTCAGTTCAAACCCAGTGATCCAGGCTCATCAAAAAGGCCTGAAACGTGCATGCAGCCCGACAATAAGAAAAGGCCTACATTGCGGTCTGCAGAATAGTCGAACTGACTATAAGGCCAAAAAAAAAAGTCTCCGATTTCTGGTATGGAGCTTGCCCCAAAAGTGGTGCGGCAACGCGGCTTTTTTTTTTTTTACCTGATTTTTTTTGCTTCAAATGTCGGCTGTTGACTGCAAATGGTGCCCGACTAAACTTAGTACAAATATGCCTATATGGGATTGGGAGTCCAGAGAGGCCACATAAAGCTTATTCTCGACCATAACCCCACCTAAAAACACGTTAAAATTGTGCAGCAGCAGAGTTCCAGTCAAACCAGTGAGTTTGGCGGTTTTGAGACATCATCTTTTATTGAAAAAAAACTTTTCATTTTGCCGACGCGCATGGCTACGGCGACGCGCGCGCATACCAGAAACCGGAGACTTTTTTTTTTGGCCTAAACGTGGTAGCTGTGTTTTTTTGCGTGCGCGTCCCAAATGTACATGTACATACATTTTGTTAGACTTGATGGCAAGTCGTTAGACTATAGTGGTTTATGTCCGTCATCAGCGCCAGAATCTGCATACCGGCCATGCCACCGCCGTTCACGCAACGTGAGCGCTACAACCAGTCATGCAAAAGTCATGTACAGTACATGTACATGTACATGTACAGTACGATGTACATGTACATATACATGTACATACACGTGCACCGCGCGGCATGGTCAGTCCATACCAGTAAACGCATGGGATCGCACACGCATGGGGTCGAAAATGTACGTAGCGTCCCCGCTACTACGACAGCATGTGGTATGTCGTACCCCCGGCACAGAGCTTGGCAGTCGCGCGCGGCGGACGCGATTAAAACCACTCATTACAGACTTGATTTCAAGTCGAACATTTTGTGGCAAATGCATACATTTCGTGAGGCTGAAGAAATATGGAACGCATAGAATAACAAAATTAGTATGGAGCGCCTCAATGGTTTTCGCTAATTCCCCACAATTTCCCTGCTTTGAGGATCAGTCGCCCTCGAACGATCCATTATTAAACACCGGTTATAAACATTGGTTCAAACAAAAAGGGTTTTTTTTGGTGGTGGTGATGGTGGTCATTCACAAAGAACAATTACATCTCACTCTTTATAACCAGGTTAAACAAGTCTAAAGATACAGTACAGTGGATCTCCCACATATATAAGTAGGATAAAAAGAACACATTATCATAATAATTTTCCCCGTTTCGTTAAAAGACTCCTTCTATCCTCTGCTTGGTGAAGGGCAAATTTCTGAGGTCTCAAAATAATGTTTGTCGGTTGGTCTGTTCAGTATACAGATGTCCCATTTTGGGGAGGGATAATTTTGGTGATAGCTCTTTTAATGGAAGTATTCGGTGTTTTTTAAAGAAGAGAAAAGCTCATTCTTGCCTTTTCTACTTTCTGAGCAGGGTCATACAAAGTGGGGGATCTGGAGCGGGGCATGCCCCATTCTCCTCCCTCCCGTTACAGTTACGTCAATGTCCGTTGGTTGCTCGAGGCATCACTGGGACAGTCGTCTCGTCGGTGTACAGAAATAGGATCACCTCCGACAGATTCCATGGTGTTTGTATATAAGTATTTTACCCAATTTTTAAGTCTCCCTGCAATCGATTAATCAGGAGCAATGTTCACACAATGAGGGCAAGGTCAATAATCCTGAAGAAATATGGACCAATAATTTTAGATGGATATTAACGTGTTTATTATCCGAATGCAGCTTACAATGAATACCATCTTTATCAGTTTGAAAATAAAGGTTTTTCTAATGAATTTATGAGGTTGTCAACGTGCGCATAATATGCACGGATAAGTAAGATTTGAGGCTTTGCATGGTGGAGATACTAAATATTGGAAGGTTTGCGGAAACACCATGTGCGAATAATTTCTCAACTAAGAGAATGGTTCTGAAAAGAACCAGAGGTATAAACT